AACCATTCATAAATTTATAGCTTTAAACATCTCACTTTGCTCTATTGAAAATTCCAAGCAGTGACATTCACTCGGTTACTTATTTTCATACAATATCACTTTCTCTGCTCTTGGTGCATAATTTATTCATTGTTTATGAGAATTTAAATGAAAAAAGTACGTTTATTAATGGACTGAATAAGTGAATGTCATGTGTATAATTATGTAGGTGTTCCCTTTTTTATCACGGGATTAGTATTTTCATTTTTTAATCTGTAAATGCAAGTTTCACTAAGAAAAAAATTGTTATTTAAAGTTAATTAGTTGGTTGATTCCTTCTCAGTGAAACTAAATTAGGAAAGGAAAAGTAACTGTTACATTTTTTTTTATTATCAGAAATCATAAAAAAATCAAAACCGAAAATCTTAGGTGTTTCATTTTTGATTAATATATGTATTTGTTTGTTTTTTTTTTCTATAGAAAGGTTTTATCTCGAATTTTACTAGTATAATTAATGCTAACCCTGTTTTGCACCTAAATTTAACAGTAGACGATTTATCTGTTCGAAAATTATCTAGAATGTCTGATGCATATGTTGTATATACAAAAAATTCTAGCAGAAACCGTACTATAAATAAAAAGAGAGATTTTGATTATGTTACTTTTAAAGAAAAAAAGTATATTTTTTAACTAGACTAGATAAAATAGTAGTATAATGCAATGGAAAAACATTCATTTATTTTCAAGAAGAAAAAAAATGGGTTTTAATTTAGGACTACTTTTGTCTCTTTTTACGAATTTTAAAATAATAATAAACAAAAATTAACTATATTCGAGATATTGTTTTCAAAAAAAATTAAGAAAAGAACTCATGGATTTCTGTGAAATGAAATATCTTGAAAATTTGTATAATCCAAAACTAATTTTGCATTGTTATAAAATTTTATTTATTCAACATGTTTATACAGATAGAGTGTCTCAAAATTATAGGACAAACCATTAAATTTGAATTATTTAAAATGAAACATACTATATTTGATTCCCTGTGTTATAATGAAAACTAATCTCAAATTGTCATACACCAACATATTTACATACAATTTAATTTAATTGCTAAAAAATTGATTTTTTGCAACACTAATACCTTATACTGTTTCTATGGTGCATTTAAGCTTACCTCTTATGTTGCCGTTAAAATACTCTTCATCTATAAAGTACGTCGTCAATAACAATGTGTCTTATGAGTATATAAAATACGCTGATGCATATTTTTTGTCAATTTATCCATTATTTTGACATACTTCTTTATGATATTTTCAGAATTTAGTAAAATTTTTGATGCAAAATTAGTGTTGCAAAAAATCTTAAAGACAATAGTTTAAAATTCTACTTGACTTAATAGCTATTTTCCTATAGATACGTATGATATTTTTAGGTTTAATTAAAGATTTAACTTA